ACATTTGTCATTACTTGAAATCCCTAAATTGTTAATATATTATAAATATATTATTAATAAATATAGAATGACATTATCGTAGCATAAGATCCATAAAGATACCTGTATTGCATCACATTCCTCCGTAAAAAACCTAAAATTTTCTTCAAACGAATCTTCCTCCTAGGATGAATCAATAAATCGTCTACACTTTTATATTTACAAAAAAGCCCACGAAAAAAAAATGTTGATATCACACCTTTTGTTGACTTAGATATGCATTTTTTCCATAAGAAAAAACATCAAAAGGAATAATCTCATCACCAAATTGATAATTGGAAATGGTATTGATGCTCTTTGGATGATAATAAATTCTGTTGAAATCAGACCACATCATCACTGTCTCATCCAAATGGAAATTTTTTTCTGTCGAATCAATTGCCATATTATCCATATTATCTGTAGATTCATCGGGAAGGTCCCTTTCTTCCTGGTTTATAATGGTGTTTGATCAGTAAAATTATAAGCAACTAGAAACGCAAGCACAAAATTTATTTTACCTCTTCTTCCAAACTTTGCAAATATTCATTCTTTGGATAGGGAGCCTGTGCATAAGTTTCAGACTTCCAATTCCTAGTAACAAGATCGTGGAAGCAAAATGCAGATATATAGTTGCATGAACCAAAGATGATCATTACCAATTACATTCTTTCTGGTCAGCGTCTTGATAATCTGAAGTCTCATCATAAAGTCTGTTCATCTTTTTAATAGAACCAAATCCTCCTAAAAATTTATATGAAAGGAAAAGCTGATAAACATCAAAGGCTACAGGAGATTATTGCCTGCTAACCTTTTAAATCATAAATAATCAACCGTGGAGTATAAGTTTCGATTCCCTGAACAAAAGAAGAAAATTCCATATTAAAATATGGAATAAATGATCTGCATAATTTGCGATAATTAATAGATCATGATAAATTTACATTTTGAGCAATGCCCGCGCGAAAGAGAGTGTCATGGAGAACGTCAGTTTCTTGAGCATGTTGGCCAGTATCGAATGAAAAATATTCCTCCTTTTTTTAAGTAAAAAATAAGCAATGTTTATCATAGCGAGGTGGTTCTACACACCAGATAAAAGCGATATGAATCACAAACTTGAGCGTTCCAAAAGTGCGCACCAACATAGTTAGAAAAATGGCCAAATTGTAAGGTCACAATCTCGTGCATTGTGAATCCCAAATTCGTCAAGTTCGTTAAAAATCGGACGACGCAAAGTATTTTATACGATTTTGTTCTCTTGAATATTATTGGTCGATAAAAAGTACCATTATTGTAATATAATCGGATGTGAAGATTTAATACAAAAAGCAGTGTAACATTCTATGTAGATCGATCAGTCATACACGTTCTTTGGGCTAACGCTGGCTGAAATATATGTTTCAACCAAGATTAGAAAACACGTACGTATATAGTTTAACTTACATCTAAGTTACATGACCGTAATGTTTTACAGGCAAATTTGCCTGCAAATGGTCATGATCTGTGAGTAACAAAACTGTATCGATATTGAATTCATTTCAAGCCAACTTTAAGATTAATTTAGGACAAAATAAGACAAGAAATAAAAGATTCATGCAAAGTTACAATATCTAAAAATAATAAATAAATAAAAATATGAATGATAAAGCAGGCCGGTTTTAATAATTTGGCCAAGATTTAGTGTAACATACATACCTTATACGCAATTTACGTCAGCTAAAATGTAAACTTACGTCAGTTAAATAATATACATCTTAAGTTAACAATCCTAGATCATTTAGATCATGTGTTTTCGGCCTGTACAAAATTCCTTAACCTTAACGTTGGGAAGTACCGGTACGAAAGTGCACAGATGTATTTATTCCCCTGCATGAGTTTTGTAACCTGTTTGCTTTATTTAAATCCAAGTGTTTATGTAGTACAGTCTTATGATACCTTCATTAATAGATTGGAACCAGTTATAAGTACATTTGCGATATTGTTCAGATACGATATGCTTGATCGGCCCAACCATACTTAACTATCTAGGGTTCTAGCGTATGTCGATCATAGATTATTAAAATTTATACAAGAAAATGCTTTATTCGTAACGCATTTATGGAATAGAATGGAACTCCTTAATAATCTTTTCAGGGCTTCTTCGTTCCAAAACGTTGGCTCGATAATGTATGAATGATGACATATATCTATATTTTTAATTGCTTTTTGAAAGTTCATTGATTTATTTAACATTAAAGTTTTTGAATTGCTGGGAAAAAAAAGTGCTAATCCCACTTGTTTGGTGTTATCAAGCATCCGGTGCAGATCTTGGAATAAAATTAATGCGTATTGGTTCATCCGAGCAGACACGGATGACGATCTAATAACAATCCCGATTCCTACACCCAGTTTATACAAAATCTTTGATAAAAAAAATATATATATCAGATATATACGTACGTACGTACGTATTCTCAAATAAACTTTAATCAATTTCCACCGCATATACGGTCCCGCATTTATTATAAATATATATTTAGAGCTTTTTTTGTATGTTTGTACTCTACCTTAAAAAAAATTGTTTTTTTTATGTAATTAAAAAATTTTGTTGTTACTTACGTAAGATACTATCTAGGAAAAGAGAGACACGATTTTATGAAATAAATAAATAAGTTGGTAATCCGGCACCATCCAACATCCATTTTACACTTATCCCTGTTTAACTGTTATAATCTATATTTTGATTTGACGAATATGATATCAACTAATCCTCCTAAACGTGCACGCTTATTTGAGACAGACTCAAGTTTACGGGAGCAACAACATTTGCAACAACTTCATCCTCAACAAATTCAACTAAACTTACAACAAGAACAACATAACAACATTCAAAGGCAATTATATCAACATAATCCTGTTCTTGGTGACTTTTCTTCTCAACAACCACCCTTTTCGTTACCTCCTGAGCATACGAATTCTTTATCGTCATCCACGGACCTTAATAACAAACATGAAGAAGAGCCTTTAAATAAACAAGACCTGCAACGACTTGAAAAAGTCATTGATTTAATATTTCCGAACAAATCTGCCGCTGCAAAAGAAGCTGTTTCTATTCTTTTAAGATCTTCAAATGCATCTTCCACGAAAGACGACGATGCAACTTCTATGGTCCTTGACCTTCCAATGATCGTTGATCAAGGCTTTGAAGCTGATCAAATAAAGTCTCCATTGGGTCATATGTTAAACCATACCTTCCCTAATTCTTTGGTTGAATTAGTTGGAAAACTTAACAAGATGTCTATAAACCCTGCAAGGCTAGATTTTATGAATCCAAGCGCGAATCCACCTTTAATAAAATCGAGCTCTTCCAATAACTCTTCTTTAGTTAATTTGGATCCTCCATCAAAAGAATTGCGTAAAAAATTGATAAATGATTACTTTACCAAATTTAATGTTGTTGTTCCTATTCTCGATCGTAAAAAATTCGCTGGTATATGGAAAGATAAATCTCATCTTTCTGAATTGTTGGTTAATTCGACTTTAGCTGTAGCTGCTGCAAGGTATTCTAATGACCCATCGATACAAAAAACACCAAATAAACCAGGCGGCGTGTTTTTCGACTCCGCAAAGGTATATGCATGTGTGCACCTAGCTTTGTGCACGTGACCGTATTAGTCTAATTTCTTTTTCACATAACAGAGGTTATTAGATGCTATGTACGATACTCCAAGGCTTGAGACTGTCCAAGCTTTATTTCTATTAAGCCATGCGGAGGTCAGTGTATCACGTATAAATAGTGGATCGATGTTTCTTGGCATGGCCGGTATGTGTTTATCTTTTGCATTGCATAAACGCGTATATTTATTTTATAATATGAATTTATGTTGATTTGTCGTCGTTCATGCATTAATATAGTACAAATGGCCCATGCTTTACATCTTGAACGAGATGAAAGTTCTTTACATCCGGAAGAGGAAGAAGAAAAGCGTAGAGTGTTTTATTGCATTTATTGTTGTGAAAGGTTCTTATCCTTTCTTTTTATTATTTTTTTTATTAGCAAATTGTTTATATTACCATTTGTATTAACAATTGATATCCTTTTATTCAGATGGTCATCATTTTCAATGGGCAAACCTTCCAGTATAGACGATATAAATATCAATGTTCCCTTACCTACACTGAATTCTTTCAGTTTTCCAACAAGGAGCTTCTTCATAGCCTTTGTGAAGTTATCACGAATACTTGGTCAAATTTGGAAATTTGGTTATTCTTCTCAACCTAAAGCTACACATACAAGTTGGTTGGATCAAGTAATGGATCGAAAAAGTATGCTAAGACAAATCCGTTCAGCATTGGCCAAATGGTTAAAGGAACTGCCTGATGAATTACAATACCAATATTTGCCTAATACTGACCCACGAAGTCTCATTCAATTGGCAACATTTTCTATTTTTTCTGGTTAGATATTAATAGATATTGTAATTTATTCTTTTCTTTATTCATTACATTTGTAATTATATTTACAATCTGTTTATTTTTATTTTTTATTTTTTTTTAGGATATATTAATATTCTTTTTCATACTTGTATAATTGTACTTCATCAACCATATTTGAGTAGTGCTTATAAGAATCCAAAAGTTGAAATGCAAGGTCCAAGTGGCCCGATTAAAACGTGTCTTACTGCGGCTACGACACTTACAGACATCGCCAGAACGACACGGAAATATGACAGGGAATCAATTTGCAACTTTCAATATCTTATATATGGATTATTACAGTCGACAATGGTGGAATTGGACGTTATTTATGAGACACAAGAGTACGATCCAAGCGCTAAAAAGGCTTTAGACGACTCAATTGAAGAATTAAGATTTGCTGCGGAAAATTCTAGATTTATTTCTCTCCAAGAAACAGTTAAAGAATTAGAGGGGGTAATAATGATAGTTAACGGAAAATCTTCAGACATTGTGATTCCATTTCCAGTTGTTATGCAAATGATGGAATCTCGGAATAATGTCATTCTATATTTATTAATAATATATTTATAATATATTAACAATTTAGGGATTTCAAGTAATGACAAATGT